TCTTATGTTTTAATGTATCAATACTTTGTTTAGACCATTTAGAATTATAAAATTAAAATTATTTTTCATTGTTTAAACTTAGAATGTACTCTCTCCGTCCCCCTAACTTTGTCTCTTTTTACCTTTTTCGTCTGTCCCATTAAGTTTGTCTCATACCATATTTGGTAATATTTGAGTGGTTAAAATTCATTCTTACTTTATTCATACTTTATCAATTCAATATCAACCACACAATTCTACTTTTTCTTAAAAACCACACCACACCCCTTTGTCCCAAACTTAGGGGGGACGGAGGTAGTAATATTCTTCTACCGATGAATTTAAATATCATCGTGTATGTACCAAGGATTTTTTTGAATGAAAATTAGCCGCAAAGCCCTATGCTAGCGAAAAAATTCGCCCCACTACACAAGCGGAAAAAATTGCCACTATTTTTTCACCCCCTATACTAACGGGAAAAAATTCGTCCCCTTGACTTGAAATCCTGGATCCGTCTCTGAACCCATCCATAGGAGGCGGCGGACATCTTCTTCCTCTCTCTCCGTGAAGACGAAGAGCGTGGATGTATTGTGGCAGGGCTTGACGATTTTCATGTCAAAAAGAGATAAAGGCGGAAGTCCTAGCGCTGTCTAGGGTAGTTTTGGGCGGACGACGGTAGTGGTTCTCACAACGACTCTGTTTTGGTGAAATGGCTTAACGAAGATTTTATTTATATGCAGAGAAAAAACATTAGCAGTAGGGTTGGAACCATAGAAGATAAGCGACATCACTACAATCCCTTTTTTCTCCCACGACCGTGTTTCGACGCAAGTGAAAGAGCCAGACGATGCATCAAAGCAGGTAGCGGAATCCATGTCTTCTTTTAGGTGACATCAACTCTCATTCTTGATATGAGTATGATCCAATTGGACTATTTTTTTTGGTTGTGTTTGTTCTGCGCTCCGGGTTGTTTAGTCTCTCTCGGTGCGGGGAGTTATTTTAGTGTCCCGTCAAGCTTCATCCTTCTTTTGGGCTGCGTGAAAAATGGTAGAACTCGTCCTCCTCTAGAACCACCTCCGTGTGAGGAAAAGTTTTGCGGAAAAGCTTTATTTCAATTTTATTTTTCCTTCAGTAATATTTATTTTTATTTTACTTTGAAAAAAATTGGTATGTATATTTGGATTTGAGGAGTACTTTTGATAGACAGTGTTTCAGTTCCAATCGTTTAAAGCTTAAATTATTTTATTTTGTGTTTAACGAATCAGATTGTCTTGTATGATTTGTTAATGAGAAATTGCCCAATATAGGGGTAAATATAAACATAATTGCACAAATAGGAGTAAAACTTAAAACTTCCTTCAATAAGAGTTAACATTAAGTTTGTACCCTTAATAACCCTAACCTATCTAATTCTAAAATACTACTTATTTGATCCTATTAAAAAATCTAAGTTCATTCACTGGAAACGATACATTTATGCAGGCCATTTAATTTTAAAAATAATCTAACTTTATCCCAACAATACTAAAATATTAAAAATTAAAAAAGTAATTTTTGTAAAAATAAAGAACTTTTAAAATAAATAAAAAATAGATAAACTGCATTAAAAATATAAAAAATTTATGCAGGCCTTTCCCGCAGCCTCGGTCATAACCCAGCAATGTCACCTTCGATCGGCGAAAAAAAATTCCATCTTATTTAAAAACTGCTATTCTTTGAAAATGCCATAAAGATGACAGTTTTACTCTTTGTGATGGATAGTGTACCCGGGGGTAGCTTATCCGAGGGGTTACTGCGGGGAGTAACGTAGAGAGAAGTCAGAGCGAGTAAGTAAGAGAGAGAGAGTCAAGTGTATCAAATGAACTCATTGTGTCTTACAAAGGGAAAAGGGGCTGTTATTTATAGTAGTAATAAATGCTAGATGGGGACACGTGTCAGCATTCTGGTGGTCTAGGGGTCACCTCAACCGGGGTGGCGCTGGCACTCGCATGTGGCCACATTAAATGCGGTGGTTGGACGCGACGTTTGTACTTGGTACGGTGATCCAGCGCATGTGGAGAGGAGATTCTGTCGAGCAAGATGCCTTCGGCTGTAGGTGACAAGCCGAAGGCTCTTCGTGCCGGGGGCCTCCTAGTACCGAGGGCTCCTATGTCGAAGGCTATGGTTTTTGAGACTTGTTCTCCCCGTGATTTATCTGAGCCCGATTCTGTCCCTGGTAGCCTTCGGCAATGGGGCCGAAGGCACCCCTTCATGCATCGTGGGCTGCTTAGAGTTCCATCTTGTTGGGCTTGGCCCGCTTGGGCCTGTTGGGCCTGATTGTAATAGTGGAAGTATGTGGGTCGGGGGTCCCTGGGCCATATACTCCATCAGGAGTCCTTCACTCCTTTTGTCGAAAGGTACTTGAGGGAAAAGGAGTAATTGTGTTGGTGCCGGTGTTTGCTTTGTTGCAGTTTTGTCAACCTGTGAGAGATTTGCGTTTGCACGTGATTTTGCCGAGGGCAGTCCTTCAGTCCCCCACATTTTGAAGGATTATGTGATTTTGCATTTTTGTGATTTTTCTCGGGGGGGTCTTCCAGTCCCCCACTCCTTGAGGCACATGTAATGTGGTGAAGAGGAGTATAGCAGTGCCTGTCCTTAGTATGTGGCCGAGGGTTGACTATTTTCGTTTCATTTTGGGGGGATGCCTCGTTAAAAACCTCATTAGAAAAAACCCCGTGGGAAAAAATTCTAATGAGGAAAAAAGAGTGCACCGAATTCCCCCAATGATGAATCGAAAAAATTATCCCTTGGTCTGAGTATAAATCCAATGCCGAAGGCTGCCCATGATTTGGGGGCTTGCTTGTTGATTGGCCAGAGGCATCCTTTCGATATCCTGGTGATACCGAGGGGAGTCCCTCAGTCATTGGGGCTGAAGGTGTGTTGTCATAGGTGATCGTTCATGTGTTGCCGAGGGGGTTTCTTAGCTCTTGATAAGTTGGAGGTTGAGGGGTCCCGAGGGGACCCGTTATTTTATGCCGGAGGCTACCACTGATGAGGGGGTTCGTAGGTGTGGCACCGGGGGGTTTGCTCAGTGTGACCCCGGGGGGGTCCCTGCTTCCCCACCATGTCGGGGGCTAAGGGGTCCTGAGGGGTTTTCCCATTGTGAATCCGGGAGCTCCCCTTGATAAAGTAGTTTGAAGGAGTTATCCCGAAGGCGTGCGTAGTCTTGTCTGAGGGGTGCCAACAGAGGACGTTTCTATATCCTCAAAATATAGCCGTTGTAATATGACCGTTGGAGAAGGCGTCCACGTGGCATGTTCCTGTTGGTTGTCCGCAGGCGGGGTCACGGGTTGGCTGAAGTGACACTGTGTAATGATGATTTTTCTCTCGGGGGCCTAGTTTTCGGCCCAAGCCCGGATTGGGGGGCCTATAAATACCCCATGGACAGCGCTATTTTCCCTTACGCATTCTTGTTGTAGCGAAGCCCTGGCAAAAAATTTCTAGAGAGAGAAACTACTCTTCGATCCATTCCCCATTTCTGAGGTCAGTTCTTCCTTTGTTCTTCGTATTTGTTGTGTACTTTGCTTCCTCGTCTTTAGATTAAGTGTTAGAGCTCCTTAGGAAGCCCCCGGATCTTAGAACCCTTCTACTCTTAGTCTCCAAAAATGTCGTCCCAAAGTGACTCTCAAGACATCTCTGGGGAGCCTTCAGTTGAGCACGAGACTTGGTCGGATGGGAGCACAGTGAACGAAGGGTCGACGTCCCATGGTGACTCTGTTGTAGCCCTGGAGGTGCAGAAAGATCTGGTGGCAGAAGTCGAGGCGGAGGACTTCGAACAAGTTATTGAAGATGAGGAGATGGCCTTGCCATGCAGACAGCCCAGGAGGAGGAGGAGAAAGAGAGGCAGAAGGTCATTGTCGCCCTCCTCCCTGCACGCAACGCTGGTGAAACCAGCACCTCCCGGCCCCTAAATCCGACGCCACTCAGGGTGGCCCCCGGGAAGAAGAACAAGAAGAAGATGGGGGCCCCCAAGAAGAAAGGGGGCGCAGTCGACCAGGGGAAACCTGTGGGGATTCCCGAGGGATATTCATGGCTGAATACTGCCGCCTTGGCGATAAACTCTAGAGTTGACCCGGCCGAATGCTACATTACACAGCTGCACGTAGGGCCTTCGGCGACGGTGGTACAATCGGGGCCTGATGACGTGCTGTCCCGGGCGCCTGAGGGGTGCTTTGTTGTGCACATGCTCTCAGTCTCAATGGGCCTCTGGTTCCCACTGCACCCCTTCCTTCTGGAGTACCTCAGGTATGTTGGCCTAGCCCCCTGCCAACTCACCCCGAATGGCCACTCCTATATTGCTGGTTTCCTGAATCTCTGTGAGTCCCGGGGGGGCACTCCCAGCCTTGATTTATTTTTCCAAAGCTTCAATCTTTGGAGCTTTGATGACGTGCCCTCGTCTCACAAGGGCTGGAAGGATCGCTTCTGCTATATCAAGATGGCGGAGAACCCGTTCCCGAGGGAGCTGAGGAATTACTTCTGGAGGCATATAAAGCCGGAGGGTTGTGCTGCTCTCGAAAAGGAGGGGAAGAAGATATCTGCTCTCCCAGTGGGGTGGGATAAACATGTGACGGTCAAGGAGATGACCCTCGAGGATGATCTGTACCTCCTTGGCATCCGGCGTTATCACTTCCTTGGGGAAACGGATGAGAAGTACTTCATTCTAGAGCGAGTCTTCGAGAGCACATGAGGTAGTTCCCGGGGGCTCCATTTTTTGCACTTAGAATTTTTGTAACTTTTATTTTTCTTTTGTCCTGACCCCTCTGCCTTATTTACTTGTGTTGTCTTGCAGGTACCAACATGGACATCAACTCCTTCGCTGCCTTGAAGAAATAGAAAGCGAAATGCCAGGGAAAAAAGGAGCCCAGTAAGCAGAAGCCCCTCGGGGAGTTTTTGAAGAGGGGTGGTGAGCCCACAGACGAAGCTGCCAAGAGGAAGGCAGCGGGCAAGGGTCCTGCCCCCGAAGGGAAGATGCCAAAAAAGGGGGACGCTGGGCAGAAGACTCCCCCGGTTGTGATTGTGGATGAGCACTCCACCTCCGAGCCCCACGTTCTGGCGGGCACGACTGCTTCGGACCTTCCCCCGGCACAGAAGGGTGAAGTAGGCTTGCCCCGGGAGGACATACAGTTTTCCCTCCTGAAGGGGACCGCCATCCTGCATGTCACTTTGGACCCTCGGGAGTTCTTGGGCGGGGCCACTCCTTCGCTGGATAGGACAGCCCTCGGCAGGCTTGACGATGATGCCCTCGAGTCTAAGATCCTTCGGTCATCTCTCACTGTAAGCTTCTATTTTCCCGCATAATATTCCAATTCCTTTATCTGTTGCATGATAGTCTAACTCTTTTATCCGTTGCATAACAGGCCTGCATAGCCCTCGGTGAGCATGCCCGGAGGTTCGACGAATGGCGCCTTCACAAGGCCCAACAGGATGAGGCCATGAAGAAGCTCATCCGTGAGAATGCTGACGCCGTGAGGCAGATGGCACGGCTTGAAGAGGACCTTCGGCAGACGAAGGCTGAGGCGGAGAGAGCCACACAGGAGAAGGCTGAAGCTGAGAGGGCCACTGCTGAGGCCGCGAAGAAAGCCGTCGAGGAGGCCGAGGCCGCCAAGGCGGAAGTTGTTGCTAGTGCGGTTGCCGCTTTCAGCGCCAAGGGGTGGAGGGCCGAAGGCCACAAGGACTGGGTGGCTTCGGTGGTGGAGGCGTCTGTTGATGAGTGGGTGAAAGGCCCCGGGGCGATGTGGCCAGCCCGAAAGGGCAAAGATTATTATGCTGGGGGGGAGTTTTTCACCCAGGCCCTCGTCTACAGAAGGCTAGCCCGACACTTGAAGATTGAACCAAAAGCTTTTGACCCGACGGCATATGGCCTTCCTCCCCTGCAGCCGGATGTTCGCGTGCCCCTTCCCCCAGACATTGAAAGGCTGGATTTGGAAGATTCTGAACTGATGAAGGCGGCCGAGGATGAAGAAGAGGCCGGAGGGGACGTCTCCTCGAAGCCCGCCGAGGGGGGTGCTGCTGAAGCTGATGATAACCCTGTTCTTGTATAATTTTGAACAATTTTCGTAATGAATATGTACGATCCTTCGACTTCGGCCACTCTGTAACAGAACTCCTTTGGTTGTACTCCTTTCTGAATATGTATGGATGCCTTCGGGCTTTGTGATGTATGAAATTGCTTTTCTTTTGATGAATGCCTTTTGTGTTATTCCCTGCTTTCTTTCCCTTCGTGCATGAATGTATGTTTGGTTAAACGTTTTGCCGAGGGCCCAACATTTAGGACTTAGAAAAATTTTCTAATGGTTTGTTCAGTGTTAGGCCCTCGATTGATGCTTCCTTTTGAATTTGGGTAGTTGTCATGAGTTGATCGAGGGCCAAAAATTTAGGACTTAGAATATTTTTCGAAGTGTTTGTACAGTACTAGGCCTTCAGTCGATGCTTCCTTCTGAACTTGTGTAGCTGTCATGAATTGTCCGAGGGCCAAAAATTTAGGACTTAGAATATTTTTCTAAGTGTTGCTTACAACTTGGCCTCTGGTTGACATCTCTTTCGTGTGCCTTGTGTTGTGTGAGTTGTAAGCCCTTCTTCATTGGTGGCTGGGGGCTACTAGTTCAGGACTTAGAAAAATTTCGAAGTTATGGTCAGTGTTGTGCCCTCGGCTTGTGTCTCCATTTAGTCACGAGCTGACCGAAGGCTTAAGACTCAGGACAGACGTTTTTCAAGTGTAGTTTTACCACTGAGCCTTCAGTTGTATGTTGAGTTGACCGAGGGCCAATCTTCTTAGGACTTAGAAGATTTTTCCAAGTGATGTGCATTACATGGCCTCCTATGGTTTGAGCCTCCGGCGTTGATAGTGGTGCCGAAGGCTACCGGAGTGTGTACTTGGAAATTTTGATCTCAAGATATACAGGTGCCCTCGATTCTCCTCAAACATGTGATGGAGAGTGTTGCATAATGTGGACTTAACCAAATTCATCCCAACTGTTGGGTTAGAGCCTTCGGTATTTCTTGATGCCGGAGGCAACCAGGTTGTTGACTTAGCCATATTTTGGTAACACTGGTTGAATAGCAGCCTCCGGAGTAAAAGCCACTGTCAAAGGTGACTTCCTGAATAAGAGCTTTCAGGTACCGAAGGTGTTCCCCAGGGGAACCTTCGGTACGATCTGGAATGCCCTGTGAGGAGTATTCTTGCTAGGTGCCGACGGGTGTTTGTTGTAAATTTATACTCGTTGATTGCTCGTTGAGTCTACTCCCCTTCACCCCATTTTTTTTGGTCGTGAAGGGAAGGCTTCAAGAAACTTGGTTTATTGGTAAGGCTTGGCCGATCGGAAGGCAATAGTATACACCATTGGCTCCCCCTCGGGATTAACCTTCCGGGTTCCGAGGGGATCGAGGGTCGTTTCCTCGGCACGAGACGTGGTCTGTTGCCTGCCTCCCCTTGGGGGATAGCACGGAAAGCGCCTCATTTTTGAAAGTCATCCCCTCAGCATGAGACATAGTCTGTTGCATGTCATTCCCTTGGGGTAATGGCACGGGGAGCATTTCGTTTTGAAAGTCAAATCCTAAGGCATATTAGTTGCCTGCCATTCCCTTGGGGTAATGGTGCGGAAAGCGTTTCAGGGGAGGGTTTTATTTGCATATTAGTTGCAAAAGGCCGGGGGCACTTGGTGTCGCTGGGACCGATAGGTGACGCCTTTGGTATAAATGCATCCTCAAGGGGTACGACTTCAAAAATAACATTTGGTGTTCATTTTTGCACACGCCCCAGTACTTGGTATCGAGGGGTCTTTGTTAAAAACACTTGGTGTTTTCTTCATTGTCGTAGGTGATTGAAGTGTCTACCCTCGGCACTTGGTGCGAAGGGTCTTGCTTGTTATAAGGCCTTGGGCCAGGAGCTTGTATGAGGGCTTGGCCGCTCACTAATGTTTTGTTCTTTGTTCTTGGTGTCTTCAACATGTCTTCATTCTTCAAAAATTGGAGGCCTTGGGCCGTAGGATAATACATTAATTAGTTATGAGGGCTTGGCCGCTCCAATGTTATTGATAAAATTTAACTAGATGGTGAACATTCCAATGTCGAGGGACCTCGTTTCCATTGGTGCATTTGAGTTTGTACGTTCCGGGTTTGATGATGGCTGTGACGATGTAGGGCCCTTCAAATTTTGGGGCCATCTTGCCGCCCTCGGTTGGTTGGCTGGCTTCCCTTCTTCGGAGAACATAGTCCCCCGCCTCAAATTCTCGGGAACGAATCTTGGCATCGATGTAGCCCTTTACTTGCCTTCGGTAGTTTTCAGCCCTTACGAATGCTTGCTCTCAACGTTCCGAGATTAGGTGAAGGTCGAGGGCCATGTTGGCGTCGTTGATCTCGGGATCGTACTGGGCCATCCTTCGGGTAGGAAGGGTTACTTCAGTTAGAGCCTTGGCCTCGAATCTGTAGCAAAGGGAGAATGGTGTTTCACCTGTCGCCCGCCGAGGGGTGGTGCGGTAGGCCCATAGGATGTTGTGAAGTTCTTCTACCCAGCCTCCTCCTTCGGCTTCAAGTTTCTTTTTCAGGCCCTCGAGTAAAGTTCGGTTGGCGTTCTCCACTTGCCCGTTGCCTTCAGGGTAGGCAACGGATGAGAAGGTATGCTTGATGCCCCATGCCTCTAGGAGGGCACAGAAGGGGGCTGCTTCAAATTAAGTCATGTTGTCGGAGATGATCTGCTCAGGGACGCCAAACCTTGTGAGGATGTTCTTGAGGACGAAGTGGCGGCACCTGGCTTCGGTGATGCTGGCGAGGGACTCAGCCTCCACCCATTTGGTGAAGTAGTCAATGGCAACGATGATGTACCTTTTGTTGGAGGTACCCCTTGGAAGAGGGCCCACGAGGTCTATGCCCCATCTGGAGAAGGGTATGGATGTGCTGATGGGGGTATAGTTGACTGCTGGCCTGCCGGGAGCCTTCTGAAAGTGTTGACAGGCAGCACACCTTTGGGCGATATCCGCACAGTCTCGGGCCATCGTAGGCCAAAAGTATCCTTGGACTATGAGCCTTCGGGACATGGAGAAAGGTCCCTGGTGAGCTGAGCAAGTGCCACTGTGCACTTCTTCCATCGCGACTTCGGCCTCTTCTTGATGAAGGAACCGGAGTAGTGTGCCGCTGTAGGAGCGTTTATAGAGCCTTCCATCTTTGAGGGTATATCTAGGAGTCCTCAATCTTGCTAGTTTGGCGCGGGCTTCATCCTCGGGCAGTTGCCCTGTGGTGATGAAGGCCATGATGTCTGAGATCCAGTCCTCTTGCCTTTGATGTATCTCCATGATGGGGCTGACGTGTATGCTTGAGAGGCTGAGTTCCTCAATTCTCGCAATCTTCGAGAGGTGCTCCGGGGATTCATCCGAGAGCTTTGATAAAATGTCGGCCTCAGAGTTTTGAGCCCTCAGTATTTGAGTGAGAGAATGGACCTCAAATGCCTTAAGCAACTCCTTGTCCGCTTCCTTGTACTGCTTCATTCTTCCTTCCTTGGCCACATATTCCCCTGAAATTTGGCCGACGACTAACTTGAAGTCGCACTTCACATGGATTTGTCTGGCCTTCATGTTAGCCGCTAGCCGAAGGCCACAAAGGAGGGCCTCATACTCCGCTTCGTTGTTGGAGAATTTGAAGGAGAAGCGGACGGCGTAGTAGGCGCGGAAGCCTTCGAGAGTAATGAGAACTACCCCTCCTCTGCATGCTTTGGTGGCTGAGGAGCCATCAGTATAGAGGGTCCACCATTCATCCGAGGGTGCCGAGGGCTCCTCATCCACCACTGATCTTGCCGTGCACTCCGTCACGAAGTCTAACAGGGCTTGGCCCTTTATGGCAGGCCTAAGACGGATGTCAATGTTGTATTGGCTAAGGAAGATATCCCATTTTACCATTCCGGAGGAGCTGGTGGGGCTCCTCATGAGGGTGCCGAGGGGTTGGTGAGTGAGGACCTGGACCGGATGGGCCTGGAAGTAGTGGCCTAATTTCTTGACGGTCCAGACGATGGCTAGCGCCGTCTTCTCCACATGGGAATATCTGAGCTCCGTTTCCCTGAGGGTCTTTCTAACATAGAAGATGGCATGCTGGATGCCATCTTCCTCTCGGATGAGGACTGAGCTGATGGCAGCCGTGCTAACGCCAAGGTAAAGGTACAGAGTTTCCCCTACCTTGGGTTTGGAGAGCACATGGGGTGAAGATAAGTATCGTTTTAGCTCGTCGAAGGCCTCCTGGCATTCTGATGTCCATTGGAAGCCGGTAGTCTTTCTCATGATTGGAAGAAGGGAAGGGACTTCTCCGCTGATTTAGATGGGAACCGGTTGAGGGCTGCCAGGCGCCCCGTCAACCTTTGGACCTCCTTGACGTTGCGTGGAGGCTCCATGTCGATGATTGCTTGAATTTTATCAGGATTGGCCTCGATACCCCTTTGGCTCACCATGTATCCCAAGAATATGCCTCCTTGCACACTGAAGGTGCATTTCTTCGGGTTTAGCCAAAGGTTGAACTTCTGCATGATGGCGAAGATTTCCCGGAGGTCGTCGGCATGGGTCGATGATTGTTTGCTTTTGACAATCATGTCGTCGACATAAGCCTCCATGGTGCGCCCTAGGACGGCCTGGAAGACCCTAGCCACCATTCGGGTGTAAGTGGCGCCCGAATTCTTCAGGTCGAAGGCCATGATTAGGTAGCAGAAGATGCCTTCGGGAGTCATGAAGGCTGTTTTTTCGGCGTCATCCTCGTGCATGAAAATCTGGTGATATCCGCGGAAGGCATCGAGGAAA